GCGCCCGGCGCCGCGCTGCCCCAGCCGCCAGGCTTGGGAAGTCGTGGCCAACGCTGCTCAGGACGTCCGGGCTTCCCACCTTCCTCTCTGGCCTCCACCCGGTCTGGTCAGCCGACCCAAAAGGCCGCCATGCGCCTGCCTGGGGCCTCTCCCTGCGGCCTGGCCTGGGGGCCACTTCTGCTGGGGCTCTGCGGTATCCTGGGGGCGTCTCAGCCCCAGCCGGTGAGGGAGGGGCGAGGTGGGATGGGCCTGGTGGGAAAAAGGGCCTGGGCAGGCTTCTCTCTAGTCCCTTCTGCCCACCAGAGCTGACTCTGCCTTGTTCTCCTCTGTCTCCGCCTCCCCCTGGAAGGTGCCCCCATATCGCATAGAAAACCAGACTTGCTGGGACCAGGACAAGGAATACTACGATCGCAATCATCAAGTCTGCTGCTCCCGCTGTCCCCCAGGTGAGAACAGTGGCCCCAGGAAGCCTGGGTGGTAGAGGTGGGTCAGAGTGACACCAGCCAGCTCTGGTAAAACTAGCTGGTAGAGAGAGAGAGAGACCGGGAAGCGTTAGCCATTGTCACACGGGCACTGAGATTTGAAGGAGGTAGCTGCATAGCCAAGAAGTCAGGATAGGGGGACAAAGAGGCCAAGGAGAGAGGCTCTGTGGCGTGCAGCAAGCAGCAGAGATGGGGGTAGACTCCTGTCTCCTGACAGCCCTCTTGTCCCACTCACCTCACAGGCAAGTTTGTCTCTGCTGCGTGCAGCCACAGCCAAGACACAGCTTGTAAGACTTGCGCCCCCAATACCTACAATGAATACTGGAACCATCTCTCCTTCTGCCAGATGTGCCGCTCCTGTGACTCTGGTGAGTGGAGTTGCACCTGGATGATGGGTGCAGCCGGGACCCCAGCTCCTCTCTGACTCTTTCTTCTCCCTCCCAGTGCTGGGCTTCGAGGAGGTTTCCCCTTGTGCCAGTGATCGGAAACCCGAGTGCCGCTGTAAGCCAGGGATGATCTGTGTGTATCTGGACAACGAGTGTGTGCACTGCGAGCAACCTGTAATGTGCCAGCCTGGCACGGAAGCGGAGGTTACAGGTCAGAGGTCACCGAAGGGAGCCAGTGAAAGGCTGCTGGGTGTCATGGGCAAGGAGGACTGGACTGTGTCCACTGGTGGCTCCCCATTGGAGTTCTCTTTGCCATAAAATACCTATCATTCCTGGCAAAAGGCTCACAGGAGGAAGGGAGGGGGGATCTTCGAAGACATGAATTGGGACAAGTGTGAGGAGCTTAGAGGTGGCTCCTGTCAGCACTGGAGGAGCGTGGGAAAAATGGCAGGCTGCAAAGCCAAGCTGGGCAAGGTAACAGCTAGAGGACAGACAGCCTGGCAAGGAGGAGGCACGAAAGAAGCCCACAGCTGGCTCACACTTGTCCACTCACCCTTACTGGCTTGCCTTTCTTTGGCCAGATGAAGCTACGGATGCTGGCTCCAGCTGTGTCCCCTGCAAGCAAGGATACTTCCAGAATACTTCCTCCCCTACTGCCCGTTGCCAACCCCATACCAGGTGAGAGTGCCCCTTCCCACACTTTCCCCCAACTCCAGGAAGCCCAGCTGTTGTCACTCCCTTCATCCTTGACTCCATGCTCTCCTGGCCATTCCCCTACCATGTGTTCCCGGAGTACCAAGGTACCAAGAAGAACAGCACAGGCTCACAGTCCTATTTCCTCCACAGATGTGAGACCCAGGGCCTGGTGGAGGCAGCTCCAGGCACCTCCCACTCTGACACGGTCTGCAGAAATCAATCCGAGCCAGGTAGGAGGTTGGGCTGAGGTTCACCAGACGGGGAAGGGGGTGTCTGGGAAAACGCCTCAGTCCTCCTCATCCAGAAAAAGGGGAATGTGCATCTTTCCTCCCGGGGTTAGACAAAAAAAAAAAAAAAGAAAGAAAGAAAGAAACATTCCTTCTAAAGAAATTGCAAGGAGCTGACATATAGTTCAGTGGTAGAATGTTTGCCTGGGATTTGAACCCAAGTACCACCAAAAGAAGAAACAAAAATTTGGAAAGCTAGACATGAGAGCATACCCAGCATTTAGAAGGCGGAGGCAGGAGAATCAAGAGTTTGAGACCAGCCTGGGCTACCCAGGGAGACTGCCTCAAAAGAGGGGATGGGAATTAAAACATCCCTAGACTATATTCTTACACTTTAAAAATTACATATATTGTGCCAGGAAAGCCTCCTGTGCTGAGTTGTAATTGTAACTGACTTTGTCATTATTTTGGATGTACTTCCATCATAGAATTCATTTACTACCTGAATGCCTCATTGTTCACTTCTGCTGGAGTCACGCTCCTCCATTTGACTCTTTCTAGGCTTTCTTGTTTCTTGGTTTCTGTCTTCTAGGAACCTCACCAGTTTCCCAGCCTGGTGGCTGACTGTAGGTTGTTTCTGAGACCATAATCATTACTAATTGCCAGAATGTAGTAACATTTTTGAACGAGCAGGTATTTGTAATTACTGCTTCCATGTATTGAGAACTACTCTGAAGCCCTCAGTGGTCTCACTTAATCTGCTTAATGATTCTATAAAGTGGAGTTATTCATCGGCACTGATGGGAAGAGAAAACCAAGACAGACATTAAATGACTTGCCTAAGATCACTGGGGGTGGGGGTGGGGCAGGGTGGAGGGGTGTGAATCAAGTTATTAGTGTCTGTATCTAAGTCTTTCTTACTCGGGGTCCGTTTATAAGGTACACATTCTGTAGAACCTTTTAAGACTGCATACAAGGTGTGGTGGCACATGCCTGTCACCCCGGCATTGGGGAGGTGGAGGCAGGGCTTTGGGGCTGGGCTGCGTGGAACCTTGTCTCTGAGAGAGGGAGAAGGGAGAGAGGGAATGAGACTTTAGCTGAAATTCACCCCTTGAACTGAGAGCCCGTCTACTCTTACTATCCGGTCTGACTCGTCCCATACATTCCTATGCATTTCTATTCATATACAAAATTTTTACGAAAAGTGGAGTGGTAAAACTGTTTTGTAACTTAACACTTTTTTGACAGGGAAGAGTTGGCACATGCTAAGTAGATGCTGAACCACTAAGTTATCCCCCAGCCCCTATATACTAGCCTTTCAATTAACAGTGTATCATAAATATTTTCCTATGACCTCTCAGGAATTTTCAGCTATGCATCAAATATCACTAGCTTTTCAGAGCTAGGATTTTAGCCAGTCGGCCTGATTAGCCTGCTTGTTTTATGTATGACAAACCAATGCTCAAATAGGTGAACTGACTTAAAAGACAGGCACCTAGGTGTCCAGACTCCTGGTCCAGTTTCTCTCCATGCCTTGCATTCTTCACTCCCTTAGGCCACAGCTGTGGGTGAATCGGTGTGGGCAAGCCTGGGAAACCAAAGTTCCATCTCTCTGCCTCTTTCCTTCCTGAGCCCTGCCATGAGCAAGGGGGTGAGCAGCTTGCAACCCCTACTCTCCCTGAGGGCCATAGACCAGGCTCAGAAGTGAAGTTCTCACAGCCACCCAGGAGCAATCTCAGGCCCAGTCACAGAAACGGGGCTCTCCCCTTAGAACCGCCTCCCCTTCCTGCTGCCTTTCACCTACTTCAAACCTTAAGAACCAGCTGCCAAAGCTTCTCTCACCCACTGACTGCAAGAGGTCTAGACATCACCACTCAGGCAGTCTCTCTCATGTGGTCAGGAGACCCTTCCCAAAGCCAATCTCAGCCCCTGGTCTACAGCCCAAGGGAAATGGCTCCAAAGAGGGAAAAGGCTGTCTGGTGTCTGGGAGAGGCTCCTCCCCCATGTCCTTTGGTGTCGTCATTCTTGTCTGCCTTCCCGGCAGGGACAATGCTGCTGCTGGCCATCCTGCTGCCCTTGGTCTGTCTTCTGCTCTTCACCACTACCCTGGCCTGCGCCTGGACGAGGCACCCCTCTCTCTGCAGAAAGCTGGGTAGGAAGGAGACACTGCTTCCTGTCCCCTCGCCGAGGTGGCAATGGAGGGGAGGGATATTCAAGGACAAACCCTGGTGCACAAGACTCTCAAGGGAGCTGGATACCATTCTCTCTCCTAGCCCCCATTGTGAGCCTAGGGATGAGGGTAAAACTATAGTATCTTCCTCTGGGACTCTAGGGTTGGCAGCACACAGTGGGTAGAGGTTGAAAGGTTGGGAACTTCAGGCCCCTCAACCTGTTTTGTTTTTCATTTCAGGTACTCTTCTCAAGAGGCATCCAGAGGTAAAGGAGTGGAAGAAGCCAGCAAGGAGGGGCGGGCCTGTGAGGTCAGGAAAGGGAGACTTTAGCCTCCATTTCATTCCACTGACTGCTTGCTGACTGCCCATGTTCCAGCCTCCATTCCAGGCACCAGACATACAGCCCAAGAAAGTACCTCCCATCCTGGAGTTTGCACATGAGTGGAACAAGAATAAAATTCAAAGGCCAGGATGTTAGAACACTTAGCTAGCTTGTGCAAGGACCTGGGTTCCACTGCCAGTGACACAGGAGGGGAAAAAAAATGTTTTATCCAGGGTGTGGTGGCTCAGTCCTGTCATCACAGCACTTGAGAGGCTGAGACAGAAGACTCACCATGAGTTTGTGACCAGCCTGGGGCTACGTAGTGAAATTCAGGGCCCGACTCAAACACAGCAGCAAGGGTAATGCTATCTAAATAATAATTCTATATATCAGGTGGCAACCATAATAAAGGTGAGATGGACAGTGAGTGACAGGTGGACGCACTGATTATTTGAGCAGTGAGTTGACGAAACGAGGAAGCTAACCAGAGAACCCTTGAGGAAAATGCTCTAGAAATTGGAGAAGCATTAAGTGCAAAGGCCGTGAGGCAAGAGACATGGTGAGAAACAGAGACAGACAACGAGTTGCCAGAACACAAGGAATAGGGCATGGGAATTAAGGTGTGATGAAGTCTAGGCCTCTGATGTTGGCTGGTTCTCTATTTCTCTTCTACAGGGAGAAGAATCTCCCCCCTGTCCCCCTCCAAAAGCCAACCCACGTTTCCCTGATCTGGCAGAGCCACTTCTACCCATGCCTGGAGACTTGTCCCCAGCCCCTGCTGGACCCCCAGTGACCCCGGTCTTGGAGGAAGTGGTGCTACAACAGCAGAGTCCCCTGGTCCAGGCCAGGGAGCTGGAGACTGAGCCTGGGGAACATAGCCAAGTGGCCCACGGTGAGCTGGGCAGGCTATAGGGAGAAGGGAGTGTGGGGAGGAAGGGAGGGGTGTGGGTGGGTTAGTAGGGAGAAAGAAGGTCCAGATGAAATAAAAAGGTCCAGAGGCAAAAGAGAAGGAAAGAGTCAGAAACAGAGGAGTGTGGCCAGCACTTAAAGCTATAGTGATGCTGGGGTGTGGGCACACCTGTAATCCCAGCACTGGAAACAGAAGGATCAGGATATCAGAGCCATCCTCCGCTACACAGTAAGTTTAGGCCAGCCTGGGCTATGTGAGAGCCTGACTCAAAGGAAGGAATAGCAAATGAGAGGTGGGATTGGGAAGAAAGGAGAAGAGAGTTCTGGAAGCATCCCCTCTCATTTGCTTCTCTCCCACAGGTGCAAATGGCATTCATGTGACCGGAGGCTCTGTGACTGTCACTGGCAATATCTATATATACAATGGGCCAGTGCTGGGGGGCACACGGGGCCCTGGAGACCCCCCAGCTCCCCCTGAGCCTCCATATCCCACTCCTGAAGAGGGAGCCCCTGACCATTCTGTGCTCTCTACACCTTACCAGGAGGATGGCAAAGCTTGGCATCTGGCTGAGACAGAGACAGTAGGGTGCCATGCCCTCTGACAGGGCCAAGGAACCTATTTGCCACCTGATGCCTGATGGTATCTGAGAAAGGCAAGGAGGAACGAGGGTCCAGCACCTTCTCCCTGAGGCTGCTCTACCCACCAGGACTCGCAGGGTGTGGGTAGGCTCTGAGAAGCAGAGCCCTAAGAGACTTGGCCTCAGGCAGCTCTTCAGAGCAGAACCGGACACTAGCAGGGCACAGTGCCTGCCCAGGACTCTTACTATTGTCTGAGCAAGCCTGAGTCCTTGTTACAGACCTACCAGTCCCAGAGGCTGCACATATTCAGCCTCAGATGCAGGCATGGCTTGTGACCCTAGCTGCTGCCCACCGTGACTCTCTGCACCTTAAACTTGGCAAAGGAGGGAGCTGGTGATAGAGTCACTTGCAAGGACATCACAGGGACCTTGCAAGGCTTCGTGGTGCTCACCCCCAACCTTCAGAGGCCTTGAGGGCTCATACCATGTGGACCAAGGTAGACCCTGAGTGAAGATGAAGCTGCATGGAGGAGCATCCCTCCCTTGCTCCTGGGGGAGAGGATAGTGAGACAGTGAGCATGGGGGTTTAGGTATCATTACCAGGTATCCAGGAGAGTTTGGGAACAGGAGAAAAATGGTAAGTGTATTTATAAATTGTAACCACATGCAAATAAAGACAAGATTGAGATCCTTTATTTTCTTGGGTTTTATATAGAAACACTAGACCATTAGGACAAAATGAAAGGCATGAAATATAATCCCTCAAAGGTACTCCTGGAAGGTCCCTGGGATTGGTTCAGACAGTGTCGGCAATAAGCAACAATGTCTGAGTACTGCAGGGGAGTATTCAACACACCTACGATATGGACTGACTCGGTCCTCAAGGCACACACAAAGGAGAAAACAGACAGAGGAAGCCATTTGTTCAAGTCAGCTGCAAATGGCAAGGGGGTCTGTACCCAGTTATTCCTGCGCACATGTCTTTCGGTGGTCTTGTCTTTCCCAAGCAGTCTCAGCACACAGCCAAACACCCCGCTGCCCTGCACAATGGAACGTAAGGTTGGCTGAGAGGTGGGTGTTCAGTACCTACCATGTGAGAGGCCGAGTTAGCGCTGTTGGTGAACAGAAATCTGGGCTAGCTGAATCCTTTCAGCTCAGAAGGAGTGGTCATGAGTGTGTGTGTGTCTGTCTGTCTGTCTGTCTGTCTGTCTGTCTACAGTCTGTCTGTCTGTCTGTGTGAGTGTGTGTGTGTGTGTGTGTGTCTGTGTGTGTCTGTGTGTGT